AATGATTAAAATTGCCTAAATTTTATGTTCATTCAATTATAAAACATCATGCTTGTTAGAAAACAACAAACACACTATTTTATACAATGATGGTACATCCACAAATGACATAGCCTTCTCTTTAAAATTGATGTTTTTTTTTTCTTGTTTTTCATAGCAAACTGGAGGAAGATTATTTATATATGGCTTATGCAGATATTATGGCAAAGGTAAGAGCCCTTCCAAATTTTAATGTTTTAATATTTTAATAAGGTCATTTTAATTTGACAAAGTATTACAATCTTACCTTCTGGATTAAAACAAAATATTGTTAAATCATGGAAACATAAGACAGGTCTTACTCTCAGATTCCTAATTGTTCCATGTGTCTTTGCTCTTAACTTCCTTGGCCAGTAACCACTGTTTTCTTTTTTTTAGCATTTCTACTTGGGATTTTGTATTTTTAATTATAATAATGAATGCACATTTATTGTACAGCCTGACAGGCTTCACTGCAGCATTTCAATGTGTGCATATATCCTATTTAGATCATGTCCACCATCTCTTCTACACACTCCTCACCCCCTCACCCTCCAGTTTTCTTCTCCAGTGCTCCCTCTTCTACTTTTAGGTCATCTGTTTTTTTAAGTGACCCTATATGAGCAAAAGCATGTGCAAGTAGTCATTCTGTGTTTGGCTTAGTTGACATGGTGACTGCCAATTCCATCTATGTTTTTTTTTTTTTTGTAAATAACATGATTTCATTCATCTATATGGTTGAATGGTACTTATTGGTATATATACCATGTTTTCTTTATCCATTCATCTGTTGGTGACACCTAGGCTGATTTCATATCTTAGTTATTTTAAATCTATTTCATTTCCTTTGGATATATGCCCAAGAGTAGTATAGCTGGATCATAGGGTGTTTCTATTTTTTAGTGTTTTGAGGAAACTCCACACTGTTTTCCTTAGTGATTGTATTAATTTACATTCCCATCAACAGTGGAAGGGTTTCTATTTCTCTTGTTCTCACCATTATTTGTTATTTTATTGATAATGGTCATTGTGACTAGAGTGAGATGGGATCTCAATGTAGTTTTGATTTTCAATTCCCTGAGAGATGAAGATACTGAGCATTTTTCATATATTTCTTGGCCATTTGTACTGCTTCTTTTGAGAAGTGTCTTTTCAGATCATCTGTGCAAATTTTGATTGGATTACTTGGGCTTTGTTAAGGTCATGTTAGTTCCTTGAATATTCTTCTTGTTAACCCTCTGTTGGGTGAATAGCTGGCAGAAGTCTTTTCCTGTGCTGGAAATTGTTTCTTTACTCTGTCAACTTTTCCTCTGCTATGCAGAACCTTTTTAATTTGATGTAAATCAATTTGTCAGTTCTCTTTTGTTTCCTGAGCTATTGGAGTCCTGTTCAGGAAATCATTGCCTGTGCCCATATCTTGAAGAGTCTCCCCTGTGTTTTCTTCCTGTAGTTCCAAAGTTTCTGGTCTTACATTGGGGACTTGGACCCATTTGTAGTTGATTTTTATACAGGATAAGAGGAGAGGTAGTGGTCTAGTTTCAGTCTTCTACCTGTGGATGTCTAGTTTAACAGCACCCTTGGTTAAAAAACATGGATTAAAAGATAAAAGAGGAATATCACTTATTCCTTTGTAACAAAAAAGAAGAAGGGGAAGATGCTAGGCTAAAGTGCCATCTGCTCTTTCTCACAGTCCTCAGCTGAGACCGAGGGGTTAGGTGCAGGGAATCTGGATAGAAGGTTTGAGAGACAGAAGACTCCAAAGAGACCTTTTGACATTTGGCACATTTATTGACTAGAAATCAGC